CACCGTTTGGAACACCCAGACATATCGCTCAGTGTCTCTAACCATCGGTGACCATCATTTCGGGAACGAACGAGTACAAGTGGATTACTGCCATGTCACAAGCACTAACGGTGTTACATCGGCTAGTTACGAAATCCTTTGCAAGCAAATTGCCAAGCTCGACGAACAGGTGAAATGGGACGTCTGTTTCTGCTCGTCAGGATATAACACCAAGAGGTTCATTACTGTAGTCAGGAAATCGGAAGATATTAGATTAAACACATCAAGATCTCCTTTTCACCTAGCTGAATTCAATGTCCTCACGAAATCAGACTGGCCAACAAATCGCCCTAGCTAGAACCCTTGAATCTGTCAGTGCTGTCTCCATAACACGCATATAAGAACTAACGTCCATGTTCACCACGTTCTTTAGATCCAACTTCATCCTTATGACTCACTCTTTGTGCACCAAACGATTTGATTTCTGGTGCTCGCGATGTTGACGACGTCCGTTGTGTCAAGTATCAAAACTGAACGCTCTTTTTTGATTGGATCCAAGTTAGTGGTTGACTATATGCTTCATGGCTGTATGGTTCATTGCGTGCCAACAGCATTGCTGTTTATTTCTTGCGTCCTGTTTATGCACAGTCTGATTGGAGTTCGCCTGAAGTAAAGGATGAGTTATACAATGACCTGTTGATTACTGTAATCTGTTCACTTGACGGGAATTATCGTTATCAACGACCTTGCTGTTCATGTGGGATCCTTGAACAAACTAGAAAGATATATGGGCAGTCCACATTCAATCGCATCCAACCGAATGGGGAACGGGAGTCACCTACTTCAACTCCTCACAGACCAAGAATGGTTCCTATCAAGCGCTATCTTTTCACACAAAAGCAAATTCGCCTTTCACGAAAACCTCTCACCTACGGCTAGTAAGAATCTGTTCGTTAATGCCGTTTGCTTTCTTTTCCCGCCCCTAAAAATAGGCCCTACCCCTATCCTCCTTACACATTCTCACTTACCTTGCATGCATTATGAGATTGGCAGCGATCGATGAAGTTCGCTTCACTGTATTACGCTGTACAATGATAATGATGATACCAATCCCATTCCTGTTGGTCTGCACCTGGGGACACTGATCACGCTGTCATACGTGGAAGACTCTGCACCTGATAAACAGGCTCACCAAACGATGGATTTCCTTGACCTGTACTGTCATGTTAGACGTTCGCATAATCATTCCTCTGTAGACCAAATAGGGCAGCGCGCAAATCTTGACGTCAGCTCATCGTGAGCCTGATGAGCGGTTGTGGGGAGTAGTGGGTCGCAAAATGTAGACAGCCGGGGAAGGCACTGTTCAACAGTGAAATTCATAATCTTTTTCGATGGATCAAGAATACTGGTCCACCGAAGGTGCAGAGCAGTTAAGGAGTCCTGCGACTCACCGATTCGCATTCAGCAACGCCATCTTGAACGAGGGACAGAAATTTAAAAAAAAGTTCAACCGGCGTTCCTCATCATCTGACAACTTTTGCGAGTAGACACCCGTCCTCCAGAAACAGCGGTTCTTTGTGAATAAGTTATCTCAACATACACAAAGCCTCTGGTTCGGACAGGTTATTGCCACTCGCGTTTAAGTTTGGAGTTGGAGTTGACGAAACTCTCGGGTTTATTGTGGGAAAGGGAACAAGTCCAACAGAATGGTATGCCCACATTTTAGTCAAAACCTGTATTCACATTAAAATTGGGATGAAAATCTCAAATAGTCTGCTGCACGTGCACTGTGCACGCGTCAGAGTCCATCTGTTTTCGAGGCTGGTCTAAATTGTATCGACCTTGTTTTCACTCTTCACCAAGTTGTGGAATTCAAACACTGCTTCCTTGATCTAAAACCCACCTTCGACTGTAGCCCAGATTCAGTCAAGGACGCCTTCTATCACAATCTACATGAGCTTCT